TATATATATATACATATATAGAAATTCAGATTTTCGATTTAAAGATTCAAGCACTATAAGCAATACAAGTATTGGGTCCCTCTTTGAAGTTTTGAACTAAGTAATATGTCTTATTTGTGTATAAAATGCTTTTAAATAGTTCATAACATTTACGGAATTATGATATATTAGGAAAACTTAAGCTTATGTTTACTTTAAGTCTTGTGAACTCATGATTCTAATAGTCGATTCAAATTGAAAAAAGTAGAAAAAATTCAATATAGAAAACTATTTGCATAAATTAAGAAGCAGCTAGAATTTTGGCTTTGGGGCTTTATTGCCTGAATGTTGTAAGTTAATCATTGGATTGACATAAAAAGGTTTATTCTTACCACCTTAAAACATCGTTAGAAATATAACCTCATGAATCGTAGGTAAAAGGCGACATGACGGAGCTATTTTTATTCTTATCGTTTAAGTGCTGTTGATTTCAAAAATGTATTACCTAGTTCTTATTTTAAAACTCAATACAGTATAACAACACTATTTTTTGTTTTTTGCAGGTATTTGTTTTTTCTTCAAAATCAAAATTAAAGAAAACAATGGTTTTGATTGATGTTTGGCTTGTAGTTTCTATACTGTCTCACTTGATAATGACAGTATGGTGTCATGCTCGTTTAATGTCACCGCCTTCTCGTTCTAGTATGTGGAGATTAGGATTCCCAACAGAGAAAAATTATGATGATGATGGTCTCTACTGTGGAGGTTTTTATGTAAGTGATATTATTAAATTAATATTTGTGTATGTCCATCTTTATGACAATTTTGTAGCTTCAATAATTGCTAGTTACTCTTTTTTCATGTAATGTATCAGCATTAGAAAAAAACGTCTGCGTTTTTCTTTTCCACTCCAATGTTTTTCTTACGACGAACACAGAATTACTTTGGTCAAGTAAATTAACGAAACAAAAAAGAGGAAGATAAAGTAAAGAATATACATAGGAAAAGAAGGCTAGCTTCCATAGACATACTGTAAACTACTCCCCCAAGAATTGGTACGGTCCCAGTGTAAAGAGGAAAATATAACATTTAGGGACGCAGTTCCTGGTATGGGTTTACACCCACCTGTCCCCCCAACCACTATTAGGGCTGAACATGAGAAGAAAAGTTTTCTCTCTCTATTTAGGGTTGGTTTGTTGCTGCATTTTTGCAGTATTTATAAACAGTACTGTCTTATATGTTTAGATATTTCTTTGAGAATTCATTTAGTACGTCATCCATGTTGATTAAATCTGCTAACACATTTTGAGATAGAATGAAATGATGAAATGGCGATTGGCGGGAGGCAGCATACGCTACCAGTGGTACGCTGCCTCCAACAATCAGTTCAGGTGACGTATCTGCTGATGGCCACTTTACTCCGTATGCGCATGAGCCGGATCTTCATGTATATCTACTCTGATAAATCTGAGTATGGTGCTCTCCTGTAATGCCTTGCCTGCCATGCTTCAAACATGTTGTAGTGATGCCCATTCAAATATTGAAGTCAAATAATTGTTTGTTATTATAGTCAAACATTATTTAGAAAATAAAATTAACATTTCCTTATTTTTTTAAAATTTGTTTTATAAGTTATATTTGCTTTATTCAGTTTATTGTGAACCCAAAAATTTTCACTAGTGCAATTATTTTTAACTGCTAAAATAAATGTAACTTTATAACGTAAGAAATTTAATAATCTCGAAGCATAATAATTTAAAACTTAATTTATTAATTTCAATTTGTTATAAATGAAGAATTTAGTGAAAAAGAAATGGGAATGAAGTTTGGCATTGCATTTACATACATAAAAATAAAATCTGCAATGCAAAGATATTATTTGGATAATAATAACCCAAAATGAAAATAATGAGTAAAAAATGTAATTGACTTCAAATTATTCTTTAAATTATATTATTAAACTAACGTCACTTTTTGTTTTTAAAGATTGACAATGAAATCACTGTTAAACTTAAAATTCATCATTTTTATCTGTTAGCTTTGAAAATTTCAAGAAACTTATAAGAAAACAGATTTGCATAATTACCTAGACCACATACCTCTAATGATCTGTATGAGGTCTCGCAGAGCATTTTTCATTTCTTTTTGGTTTATTAAAAAAATTACTATTTACAAAGATTCACCACATCGCTGCGTATTAAGTGCGGCAAAGTAATCAGCAGAAATGAGTACTTGCTTTTAATTTAAAACACTTACCGTAACACTAACATTTAAAACACTAACACTACACTCAGGTGTTATAATGTAAATAAAATTCGAAAATAAGTTCTAGGCCTTTAATTATTAAATTTTTAATTGTAATTTTTTGTTGAAGTTCTGATGGTTACAGATTATTCGCAAACCTCTTCAAAAATAGTTTTTATTCACGAACTTCAATATATATATATATTATCATACTGTTATTGTACAAGTAAAGACAAACATAAAAGAATTTGATTAATTGAACTGGAGAACAAATCAGAGCATAGTTTTTGGATGATTTAATTTTTAAAAAAAAAACGTTTTAATATTTCATTTTTACCTTTCAATGGTGCGTGCGGCGAAACATTGCGTAAATGTTTTTAGTTGAGAGAATCACGTGGGGATTAACTATCACGAGAACAAGAATTGGTATTAGTTCCAATATTCGTGAATGAACCTTGGTGGCTCAGGGAATCGAGCACGTGCCTTCCAACTAGGCGAACCGGGTTCAAATCTCAGTAAAGATTGGTTGATACGAATTACGCAACCGACTCGCACCGACCACAGAGCTGACATAAAATATTCTCGGTGGTAGACGAGTCATGGGATAGAGTCCGCTTACAGTCAGGCGAATTGTGGGGGTTTTCATGGTTTTCCTCTCCAAGTAACGCAAATGCAGATTAGTTCCACCAAAAATTCCTCCACGTATGGAAATTTTTCCCAATACTTAATCTAGGAGCTCCCTTGACTTCTGGATTAGGTTCAAAATCCCAAGGTTACGGAGTTGAACATCAGTAGTTGTAAACTCAAAATTGGGCCGGCTGTTCAACGACGGTTATAAAATATGCGGTATTTAAACTATTCATTTGATTATTTTTCTGTTCATATGGTCATAGTTAGGCGGAAAGTTTGGTTTTCAAAATTATAGTTCTTATTACCACTCATTTAGCAAACGTATAAAATTGCAAAGTAAATTTTATGAGTTCTTTTAGTCTATGTAAGTATACAATGTAGTTTTTATCATATAATTAAAACAGTATATTTAAATAAGAGTGCACGGCTGTAAAAATTCTGGAAAAATTAACGCTCTTGTATAGAAGTGATATTTCTTGTCAAAATTTTTTTTTAACTCTGATAATAAAACTAAAATGCTTGATATTTAAACTATTTATTTGATAATTTTTCGTTCAAATGGTAATGGTTCACTGGAATCTTTGATTTTCAAAACTATAGTTAGTTTTACCACATATTTACATATTTAGTAAAAGTACAAAACTGGAAAGGAAATAAAACTGAATAAATGGCTTTTAAGCCATGCTCTAAAGAAAGTATCATGATAAAAATTTTGCCACATTTACTACCTCTTTTACTATCAAATTTAACCCCATTTATTTCCATTACGCATACCCACATTTACCACATTAGTTTACTTTCGGTAAAAATTACCGAACTTTTTGGTGTTCCTATAGAGCTAGAAGCACAGTAAGTTTTAGCACCTTTTTGTAGTTTTAACCTTACTTTTATTCTCAGCTTGTCAATGAGAGATTTTACATTTTGTTCCGAGAAGTTTCATAACGAATTTATGCAATGTTAAATAATAATATTTATTTTTCAACATATTTGTCAAAAGTTTTTCATTTTTAAAATATTTAGGTGCAGTGGCAACAAAATGAAGGGAAATGTGGTTTGTGCGGAGATCCGTACAATACAAAACAACCGCGTGAAAACGAAGCAGGAGGAAAGTATGGGAGCGGCATCATTAGCCAGACTTATACATCAGGACAGGTAAAATATGAAATTCTAACTTATCTTATTATTACTTTTAATAAGGAAGAAAAAAGAATTGCGTATTTGTTATCTTTGTGACCAAGTTTCAACTTGAAATTATTAAAATTAAAGCATATTATATTATGTTTTTAATTAATAGGCAAATAAAAAGTTGCAATTAGTGAATTTATTTTTAAATTAAATAAAATAAAAGATGAATTATATATAAATAAAAAATTAGTTCAGATTACATAAATTTTGAATGAATGAATTGTATCGCTGAAAAGCTATTAGTTTCATAATTTATGTGAATATATTTAGTTTAAATTTCCACTCATGCAAATATTTGGGTATTTATCTGATTTAAACATAAAAATATGCTAGTAAAATTATAATCTTTATATCTTTAGTTATAATATGATTAAATAATTAAATTATAACCTCCTTTTAGCTAATTTTCACTAGTGCAAAAATAGGTACGTAAGTCTTGTATGAAAATGTTAAAATTACATTTATGATTTATTCTGATTAAATGTACAATTCGCAATATTTTCCCTAATCCAAAAGTAGGGCTACAAAGAGTTACCATCCATAGAAAATTAATAATTTTGTTTCTCAATATATTAAGTTCAGTTTGCAGGATATTGTACTGTAACATGGGTGATCATTTGGAATTTGAATTTTAAGAGAAGCAAAGGACTACCTCGGTGGTAATGAATACTGCTGATATTGATAGGGTATAAATTACTTAGTTATAATAAGAGGTTTAAAAAGAGTGTTTGCACTTCAAAATATTGTTTATTGTAACTCATTTATTAATAATTATTTAAATTTTTTTTAATAATTAAGTAAATATTTTTATGTAAATATCTTGTGTTGACTTTTGCTATTTGCTTATATTGAATATTTATAATTTTAGACCATTGAAGCATTAGTGCATGTGACTGCAAATCACAAAGGCTATTTTGAGTTCAAAGTTTGCCCTAACAATAACTCTAAAAAAGAAGCTACTCAGGGGTGCTTGGATAAATATATTTTGAAGCAAGCAAATGGAAATGGATCTCGAGTTTACATTTCTGATAAAGGACATGGCAATGTAACTGTGCGGTTGCAATTGCCGAAAGGATTGACTTGTTCACAATGCGTTTTTCAGTGGACATACGTTGCAGGTTAGTAGAATAAATTTTAAAGAAAACCTCCCATAAAACTATACTTTTTTTTCATTATTTTAGATCAAATTAAGTAAAATACATTATATTCAGTGTTTTAATAATTTTTGGTTTTGGAATTCACTATCGTATACTGGTGTCCTTTGTGGCGTTTAAAGTAAAATTTTCCAAATATGACTCACTTCCGAACAAAAATTTTTCCGATTTGCACTTATTTGCAGGTATTTAGATCTATGAGACACAGTTAAAAATCATTAAAATTTCTTCAATTTACAAAATCAATTAATGATAAATTTTTAAATATTAATTTGAAAAAAGTTTGAAAAGACATTTTTTGGATTTTATATTTTAGAAAAAACATAATTCCGATAATCTAAAAATTTTTTTAGTAACTATTAGACAGTTTTCTATATTTGAAAGATAAAATACTAAAAAATATTTTTATTTGTAATTAGAGCGTCAGAAAAACAAATATATGTAAAAGAGACACCGGTGTCCCATCTGCGGCAAAGGGATAAAGTGTTGTTTTATGTTTTCATATTTTAGATAGTCCTTTAAACCATCACCAAATTATTTAATTTAAATGAAAAAAAATTAACTACTAGTGAGCTGCGCCCCCTGCTCGCTAACGCTCGCCAGCCCCCGAAAATTGCAACGCAATCTTATATGGTTTGCTTCGCAAACCAAGCTCGTTTCGCTCGCTACTAACTTAAAAACATTGCAAATGCACAAAATTCTAAGAATTCAAAACAGTCACTCAAATCCATATAACAACTTTTTTTTTTTAAAAAAATGATCTCTTTTTAGTAAATACTAAGTCATTAAAATAAATTTGAATTCAAATAAATGACATGTAATTCGTTAAACCTATTAGAAATGTGCTATAGTATAAAACTAAGGCCTACAATTTCTAAAACTGATATCTCTTTAAAAAGGTTAAAATTTTGGCTATAATTAAGTCTATTAAAAATTGAAATAAGTGAATTGCAATGGAAAAACCTGCATAAACAAATAAATTCTAGTAAAACAAATAAATTCGTGATATAAATCAAAAATCGTCAAATAAATTCGTAATATATAAATTCGTGAAAAAAAGCGCTTTCGACAAAATACTAAAATAGAGATCTATCGACAAAGACTACTCACTTCTGCCTAGCTTATGCTCTCTCTGGTTATTTCAGTTTCCCTTTTTTAAAAGCGCTATATGTTGAGCCATCTCAGCTAGATTTGGCATGCGACATTTTTAGCGACAATCATTGGTCGATTTTCTAGTAATGAGGCTTTTTTTTGTCGGCGTGTAAGAGAAATATATATATATATATAGATTCTCTTAAGTTATTTGGACATAAATAACTGCAATTTTTGCCATGCCAAATGTTCGGAATCATAATAATAAGTTTCATTAAATATAATTAAATTTAAATTTATAAACTAAAATATTTAAAAAACGTTCGAATAATTTATTGAGAGACCTCGCACTCTCTAGCGTCACACACACTTATGCACGTCAGTTCTGCGCTACACTGTTATCATAGAACTATCTCGATCCTCTACTGCTCTTGCGCAGATGGGAACGGGATACATGGGAACATGTATCCCTTTATACGTATGAGAACGGGAAAGATGCTATGTGCATGAGAGTGCGAAATATTTCTCAAGCAATTAAGATTAAGTGCGTTTAGCAAGGTGATAAGCAATTTCTAAATAATTGTATGTTGATGAATAATTAATTGTCATGTATTTACAACTTAACTGGATTTTAAAATTCATATTTGATATAGCTATGAGTGTCTTGGATTACACGTAGGTTTCTATGCTGAGAGAGGCAAGCGAAAAAAAATGCCTTTCTTAATTCTTTATAGAAGATGGTAGAAATTTGCCGTACCTCTGGCTCTATGAGAACACTAAAAAAGCTCGATAAATTTTATCGAAGTGCTGTGGTAATGATTTTAGTAAAAATAAAAATAAAATATAGATTTAATATATGTGATAAAATTTGGTAATTTCATAATGATACCTGAGAACATGAAAAGAAAACTATTTTTCTTAATTAAAAAGAGAATTTCTGGTAAATGTTACCATATGAACAGAAAAACTTCCAAGTGAATGGATACCATATATTTTATATTTATTAACCAGGATTAGTTTTATTCCCCCCCCCCCAGAAATATCATTACTCTACAGTACTGTAATTTTCCCAGAATTTTTTTCTAAGTGTAGAATGCACCATGCCTGCGAACCAGGATTCTATAATACTTAAGCTATAAAAGCTATTGTATAATACTTAAGCATACGGCAAAGTTGAAATTTTGGTTTTATCTTTATTTTATTTCTACAGAGAAATTTTTAATATAATTTCTTAATACATAAGTATATAGTATTATATAAGTTATTTTAAAATATTTTTCAGTTCCAATACATCTTTATTTACAGGCTTTGTTCTAGGTATTTAACCTACTCCTTTTGTATGATATAATGATTATACAAGAAATAGTTTTAAGCCGTATGCTTATTTTCAAATTATAGATACATTTTATTAAACTTTTCTTTGCATACCTATTATACTAACTGTACTGATTTTCTTCATACCTTCCTTTTGTTATTTATAACTAGCACCAGTTGAGATTAGAAAATATTAAAAATTAGGTTAATACAACAATTTTTGATTAAGTCTGGTAAAATGTCTTTAATGATGTTTTAGTTCAGCTAGGGCGACAGTTTATTCATTTTAAATGTAATGTTATATTTTTCTAAAGGAGATACAGATGTAATGAAAAACTAAAGTTTTCCTAAAAATTTAAGTGTATTTATTGTTTTCAGGAAATAACTGGGGTTTATGTGAAGACGGAACTGCTGGCCTAGGATGTGGACCTCAAGAAACATTTAGAGCATGTGCGGATATCGAAATAAAAGGTTTACACGACTTTGAGACAAGAAAACCAAATAAGAATAATTTTAAACCAACTACGGGCTTTGATTTTGATCACAACAGTATCAACAACAAGGTTTTTGAAACTCCGTCATTCCCGAAGAATCCAACAATATTATACAAACCATTACCACATGCTCATGCAGATGAAAATCATAAAACTCATACCAATACGTTTCAGTACACCAACCAATTTTTCAAGAATAATCAAGACAATTTGGCATGGAAATTTTTAAGCCAATTTGGCGATGATTTGATGAATCATGACACATTTCCTTATTTCACTAGCAATCATTTCTTAACAGGCAATCTCTTTGACACTACTAAAAAATATCTAGATAATCATAATGATTACTACGCCATGCATCCGTCGAAATCCAATGTAGAAAATTCTGAAGTGAATGGAGATAGTGTGTTATCCAAGCCAATGTTTTATTTATTAAGCAAAATTTCTGAAAAAGGCGATTCGAACATTGAACCAGTTTCGTATTTTACTTCTTTTCATAATAATGAACTCAGCCAAAATAGTGAAGATACTACAGGAGGATTTGATTTAGGTGGCCGAAAGTACAAAGATTTCTGGTTTTTGTCTTAAGTTCTATTCTATTGTCTTGTTAGGGATCTGCTTTTTATTGTTATTGTTTTATCACTTTCATGGTTACTTGTTGATATACATTTTTGCTCAATTGTTTCCTTGTAAAAACGACGTGTACATTAATTAATAAAATCTGTGCTCGTAACTCTAGTGCTATTTGTTCATGTTATCACCCGAAACAAAAATAAAGGAAATATAATTTTCATATTGTAACTTCGTTGCAGAAATGTTCTTTATAATGTTTGAATGATGTTTATAAACGTTGCTTTTTTAAGAATTTGAATTTGATTTTCTAGAGAAAAAGTTGAAAATCAAGCAATTTTGTTGGTTTAATGTTGTTAGGTATTTTATATTTTCAGAGCTCAATGTGTTTACAAATAACTATTCTACAAAATTCGAAATTGTTCTTAAATACGTTTTGTAATGCTTGTCTTCTAAAATTATATCATATATTTTGGATTTGATCTTCAAGCTTTTTTTTGAGATGGCAAAAGAAATGCTTAATTGTCGATAAAGATGTTACGACGAGTTTAAAGTTGCAACCATTTAGAAAATAATTAACCAAATTTGCTTGTAAATCCACATTTGTTAGTCATAGATAGTTTACCCGAAAATTATTCTGAAAAATGATGTCTTTTACATTAGATTTTCGCGCATTTTATAGTTCCCTTTTCATTATTAATATGAGGTTAGCATATTAGATATTATTATTATTACCTTTAGATATGAAGACCTTTTAATTATTTTCAAAGTGAAACTTAAAGGTACCTACTTAAGTTTGTCCAATTCATAACTTTTATGAGAATTGGACTACTTCAAGTTACCATATTGATGTATGATGAAAACGAACGTGGATACGTCTCTTCTAATCCCCATTTAGCTATGATGAGGAAATAATGGCTAATAACTCTCTAATCTTTAAAAATGAATGTTCGGAAAAGACACACATCCATCCGTTCTTGATAGTCTGACTATTCTTAAAATTAATAAAGCAGCCAGTGTGAGTTAGGAAACAAAAACAGCAGATCGATTTTTTTTTCAGTTTGGAGAAAATTTTCATCCAGCATTAGTCTTACTAGTATGTGCTCCATAGTTTAGTTTTTTTGCTCCGAAATCTAAAAACTTTAAGGAAGAAAGTAAATTTTAGTTAAATAAAGCTGTTCTTCTGTCTATCTCGGTACAAAGCTAGCGTTTGGATTAAATACATGGGTATATTTCAAAAAGCCAAAAAGAAAACCTTTTAACTATAACGTGAGTTTAAGTACGTAATGAATGAAAGAAAATCCTAAAAATTTGCATAGCCTATACATTCAAAATTATATGACAAGATGATAATTACCTTCCGTTTAAAAAAATCACTATAAAGGCAGCTCGTATCAAGCCTTATGCTAATTATTCAAATTTTTTATTCATCTTTTAAAGTCATTTTCAATCTATCATACGAAAAACATCAAGTTTGTTACATTTGTAGTAATTAATTAATTCATATTTTACAAATATTTTAAGAGCAATACTCTTAAAATTTACATAATAATGGATTTTAATAAAATTTTGACATGGAATTAATTGAATTTTGATATCAAATTTTAAGATTTTGACAAAGATTTTATTTTTTTGAACATTAAACTGAAATCTTACTGATAGATTTTTATCATTTTTCTAGTTGATTTGATAATATCTAATATTAATATGCATAAGAAATGTTATTGAAAAATTGAGAATTATCAGTCAACATTTTGCAAGCTGCGCATTAGTAGGAACCAAACCAAACAACGAGTAGTTGACAAAAACATGCAAACGGTTTTGAATATGTTACTGATAGCTATAGAAGCAGCTTGCATTAAAAATGAAAACGATTTAGAATGTTTTTCGATCATTAAGTTTATTATATTGTTATGAATCTGCGAGTATACTATCAACATATGTGACCAGAATGATCTTGAAAATATTCTTCGAAACATAAATAAAAATAATTTCCTACACTGATGATTTTTATCTATTTTCTTCGATTAAAGACTCCTTAAACGGCGAACCTAACAACATTTCTATTAATGAACGTTGTTAGGCCTAATGACCTTTCTTTTAAAGAAAAGTCATTAGTTTCCAATGGTGTAAGAAGGTGTAACTTAAAAAGAATCCGAATTACTTATTTTTCGCAGTGTGTTATTTCAAATTATTTTCAATTGGTAGCAAAGGAATTTAAATAATCTGATTATTTCTAGGAATCACTTTTATTAAAACGCACTAAAAAGACTTTTGTATGAAATAAATTTGACTACTGTTTATGTAAATAAGATAAACATTTCAAATTTATGATAGTAAACTGCATAAATAGGTGTTTTTTACCAGAAAAGTTGATATAATATAAGCGTTGTCTTACCACTTGGAATCCATTTTCGAACTTAATCGTATGTGTCTTTGATTTCGTTTTTCTCCTAAAATAATCAGTAAGTATATGTTGCTCATATAAAATAAAATAAATAAAACAAACATATTTTCATGGTTATCAAGGCGTTAAAACAGTGTTCACATGTTTAATTTAATTAATTTTTGAAAAATTAAATAAAGTTTTAACTAATTTATACGAATTAAAATACGATAAATTTCTCACAAAAGGACAAAACTTACAAAATTCTGCCTTAACCTTCAAGGTAATTGACAATTTTTTTAAGAAAAAGTTCCGTTAATATTTATTATAATTTAAGTACTGGCCAGGAGTGCAAAAAACTCTTACGGTCTAATTTTTCACCAGAGCATAGTTTTTTGAGTTTGTAATTTCCTCAAAACTTAGATTATATTAATTAAGATTATAATATTAATTATTATTAATATTAATTAATATAAAGACAATTAATATAAGATTTATATATAATTAAAATAAGATATTAATCAAAAGATAATCGTTAATATTAATTATAATTTAAGTACTGGCTAGGAGGGCAGAAAATTATTACAGCCTAATATTTCTTCAGAGCATAGTTTTTTTGGTTTGAAATTTCTTTAAAACTAAGAGAAAAAAATTTAAGTTACAATAGCTTTTTAAAAATATTTTTAGAAAGTTTCTATCTTGATAAAATATTTTGATAATAATTTTTTATTTAAATAAATAAAAAAAAATCAATTGGTTTTACACAATTCTTGAATGAACTAGCATATGTATTAATTTATTTTATATTACTATTTCAATATATTTTAAATTCTATTTTTATTTTGAATTCTATTTTTATATTCAAAATATATTGAAATAGTAAATATTCATAAATATAAATTCAAGGTCCCACTTATAAACTTTAGGAATTCAAACTAATAAATAAACAAATAGTGATATCAAGTTGCTTGTGTTATATTTAACATAACGAAAATATTCTTCTTCTTCTAGTATAAGAGAAAATATTCTTTCAGTTTTGCCCAGCAAGACAGCACTCGTTTTTTTTCTAGTACTATTCTTTTCTTCAAGGATGATTATTCATTCTATTTTTTACAAGGAAAATTTTTGGAAAGCGATTAATTCTTTTAAGTTAAAAAATTTTTAATAATTTTTTTAATTAAATCGAAAATTCTCCCTATGCTGCCTGAATTTCTGCAGAACCGAACATATTCTGTACTCCTGGTATAGGCTAAATACGAAGCAATTTCTCTTCATATATGAGATATAGTTGCAAAACTTGAGTAGCCACTTGAGTAGCTAATGGATTGCTAATGAGTAGCTAATGGAATAGCTAATGGATAAATGAGTAGCTAATGGATATGAAATTAAAAAATGAGTAGTTAATGGTTAAATAGATTTTTATTTCAAAATTTTCACGTTTTTTCTCATTTATCTGAGGATTGCTTATAAAGTTATCGTGTGTGCAAATTTAAATGCCATAACTATTAATAAAAATGTAGATGAATATGCATTTTAATAGTGATAAATATTTATTTTTTTATAATCAGTACTGAATTGACGAAATAAAAAGAGAAGCGTATTTAGCAACATCATTTTTTAAACTTGTGTTTTGTACTTCGAAATATTTCTTGCTCAGTGGAATTCTAATAATTTATTAATAGCTCTCAAAGAATGATTAAGAATGCAGTAAAAATGTGCATAATTATCTGGCAAATGAATGGCATATTGGACACTCATAGTTTCGAAATTATTGCACATACTACAATAAGTAATACACGAAAGTAAAGAAAAATATGCTAATTTTTTTCTAGTTTCGAATGTTCAATGTATTCCATCCGATATTCATTTGTTAGACGACAAATATCGGATCTAGTAATCAAGTTCGTTCCACACATTTTGTAGTTATACACTCTCAATTATTCCTAACGTTGCATAAATTCATTTTTTAAGTTCTTTGTTGAGTTCTATCATGGATAGTTTATTGACAGAGTTTTGGTGGTTTTATTTTTCTTCTAACATGACAGAAAATATTCTTTTACTTTTGTCCATCAAAGCATTCCTCGTTCTTCTTTCTTGTTTGATTTTTTTCTTCATGCATAATTTTTCATTCCATTTTTTACAAAGAAAATTCTTGTGAAGCGATTTTTTTTTGTATTGAAAACTTTTGTGTCAATACCTTTTTTAATTCGACCAAAAATTCACCCAATATTGTCTGACTGGATTTGCCAGTAATCAAATGGCCGCTAAGATCCCCGGACCTTATGCTATATGATTTCTTTCTATGGGGTTCAGTCAAAGGCACTATTTATGCACCACAGATACCAAAAACATTGAACAAAGTTAAAAAGAATGCGTTTATATAGTGCTAGAAATCACTAACGATGGCGACATTCAAAATGTGTGATTATGATACTTGATTACTTGATTCGGTGTTTACCATGTGATCAAAGGGACACACGTCAAATTGAAAACTTTTAAAACTGATAATTTTCATCTGAAAATTTGAAAACTGAAAAAGGTACATTTAAAAAGGAAACAAAATGTTTTTTTGCGGAAAAAGAGTTTTTTCTATAAGAATATCAAAAGTTCTAGTGATTTTTTTGCCAGTCGAAACTATATACGTATTTAAGAAAAGTGAATGAATGATACTAAATAAATAATGGTGAAGTATATCATAGTGCAATGGTGACGAATATAATATAATGCATTGGCATAATGAATGAATATATATAAATGAATAAATTTTTAAATGAGCAAATATATGAATGAATAAATATATAAATGAATAAATTTGTAAATGAATAAGTATAAAATAAAATCTTTTTGACAAAATAAAATGTTGAGTTCAATATGCAATGACTATTGTTTTAATGAAAGATAGAACATGCAATAAATTTAAAATATTTGACTAAAAAAGTTTAATATACCAAACCAAAAACTGCATCTAATTTAGCTATTGCATAAATTCTTTTCGGAAAATGCCACGAAAATAATTATTGAATTTTGGAAAATATTTATATTAGAATAAAAAATCATTTAAAAAGCTTGTCTGTAAATTATGTTCTGTGTATATTAAAAAATTTAATTAGTAAAAATCTAAAAAACTCTTAAAAAAACGCTTATTTTTAAGATTTGAAAATAATACATTTATTCGTTCATGGAAATAACGCATAATCTACAAACATTTTTTAAAATAGAGTATAACCCTTGGAGGAGTTTCCTTGTCTTTTGGATTAGGTTCAAAATTACAATCCCACGGAGTTGAACATTGGTACTCGTCAAAATTGGGTCAGATGTTCACCGACGGTTATAAAATAAAATAAAATGCAAAAATAGTAAAGACTAATCAAAGACAGTTAAATAATATAATTATGCAGTTTAAAATCAATGTACAATGGTTTAAAGATTATTTTTGAAAAGAATAAAAAAAAAATGAAGATTATTTTTAAGAAGAATATTAACACCAGTAAATAAGTAATTATTTTTAACTGGCACAATAATCAAAGAAGTTTCCCAATCTTTAGCTTATACTCTCCAATCCTCCTACCTTAAAATTCTAAAAATAGTTTTTTTTTCTTCTTTTTTTTAACATAATAAATAATAAATTGTTTTTCAATAGCAAAGATTGTTTATTCAACCATATAGAACCAAATTGTTTTCATTAACAAAGTTGCATAAACACGTTTCAAGAAAATTAAAATATTTGCCTAAAAGAGTTCAATGTACGCAACAGATTTAATGAAATATTTGCGCACATACTACTCGGAAAAGTTATAGAATTTTCAAGAGTAGCTATTTGAAAAATAAAATATCCCCTTTATAACAGAATTCATAAAAAATATTAAAAATCTTTCGTCTCAAATGTTTGTTTTTTAAATATTATGTTTGATAAATTTTTTCTCTCTGTGAAATTACATATAATTCATAATCATTTTTCAAAGAAAAGTGAAAATGATTTTTAATTTATTCTTTTCTTTTACTTTCTCAAATTTGGATGAATGTTATTTAGGGAAAGGCGTAACCGTCGGTAACATCACGGATCTCCGCTTTTCCCCTGAATTCGGAAGATTGATTCATCTAAGAATGTTGCCCATGAATATTCAGAAGCCGCAATATAAAGGTCAAAGTAGGGTCGTCGACCGACATTCTAATTGCTCGAACGTTTTTGTTGATTCAAAAGTCTCAAGAAATATTGCATGACGAATAAAGTTGTTGACGATTTCTTATAATGCGAAAATGATTTATGCTTACTGCCATCAATTTTTAGTGATTGATATATTTCTTTATAAAGTATGCATTAAAATTATTTATTCTTGAAAAAAAAAATAGAATCTTTATTGATTTTAATTATATAATAAAATTTAAAGTACTAAAGTGTAGTAGTTAGTAGTATAATTGATTCACATTACAAGCTATTGCGTGTTAAAAAATAATAAGCCGGTCATAAATCTAAATTTTCAAACTAAATCAAATTTTTATTAAGTTGGCAGGTAAAGTTTAAAAACTTCCTGCACGTTATGCTCAACTAATAATAACAATTTTTTTTATTGTAATTTTTTACAGTGATTTAAGCTTTGATATTTCGGAGAACAGATATTTTTTTTAAAAAAGTTACTCTAAATTCTAATCACGCAGAGTTGAATAACATGTTTAGAAGCTGATTTCGGCAGATTTTGACAGCATATTATTTAGTAAATAATTTATCTTGCTCTGATCACATTTTCATCGCAATTTGCTGCACGAGGAAATAAATTCTGTTAAAATTATTGTATTGTATGGTAATGACATTTCTGATTTAAAAAAAAAAACAACAACAGCATAGTTCCGATGAATAAAACCAAAATATGCAACATTTAAATCATTCATTTGGTAATTTTTCCGTTCAGATGGTAAAAGTTTACCGAAAATTTTGATTTTTTAAAATTTTAGTTCTTATTTCAAGACATTTAGTAAAAAATACGAAATTTAGTTCTTATTACAAGACATTTAGTAAAAAATACGAAATTAAGAAGTATAGTTAACCCAAAAATAGGTTTTTATTTCATGCTCTAAGGTATCATGATAAAATTACAAAGTCTTACCACATTTACCCAATTTTGCTTATTATAATAAAACTATATATACATTTACTTGTATACTTACCTCATATACTTGCATTTATACTTACCTTATATACTTACATTTTACCAAAAACATTTCCCAAAGTTTTTCGGTAAAAATAACAGCCCTTTTTGTGTTTCCATAATGCCAGAAACTTAGCAAATTTTACCATATTCTGGTAGCTTAACTAGGCTTTTTTTATATTGATTAAAACATTCATCAATTAATTCCCATTTTGCATGTGTGAAAGAAACCTTTTGTCTTGACAAAAATTTTTTAGAATATGNTTAACACAGTATAAAATAGGTAATTAAACTACTTTAAATCTAATTTTTTTCATTGTGTGCCGTCAAATTTCAAAATCGTTAAAAGTGTGCCGCAACAAAAAAAAGGTTGAGAATCACTGCTCTAAGGTATCATGATAAAATTATAAAGTCTTACCACATTTACCCAATTTTACCACTTATTATAAAACCTTATATACATTTACTTGTATACTTACCTTATATACTTACATTTATACTTACCTTATATACTTACATTTTACCAAAAACATTACCAAAGTTTTTCGGTAAAAATAACAGCCCTTTTTGTGTCTCCATAACTCCAGAAACTTAGCAAATTTTACCATATTCTGGTAGCTTGACTATGCTTTTTTTATATTGATTAGAACTTTCATCAATTAATTCCCATTTTGCATGTGTGAAAGAAACCTTTTGTCTTGACAATAATTTTTTAGAATATGTTCAAAAAACAGTATTCTAAATAGCCTATGTTATATTGGGTTGGAGGGAAAGTTCTGTCGTCAATCGATAGTGATGTTTTGCAATCCATGTTGGAAAATAATCCACGTTTAACAAGTCGAGAAATTGCAGAAGAGTTTGGCATTCATCGTACAACTGTTGGACATCACATTAAATCTCTTGGGTTTGTGTTAAAGCAAAGTGTTTGGGTTCCACATGAAATAACGGAAAATAATTTGTCTGATCGTGTAAGAATGTGTTCATCACATCTGATTAGACACAATATGGAGCCGTTTTTGGACAGGCTGGTTACTGGAGATGAAAAGTGGATTCTTTACGAGAATATTAGGTAAAAAAAATCCTACTGCAAACGAGGAATATCGTCAGAAACAGTTCCAAAACCAAGTATCCATCAGCGAAAAGTACTGCTTTGTTTGTGGTGGGACAGAAAAGGTCCAGTGTACCACAAGTTGCAGAAACAGGGAAAAACCATCAACGCGGATCTGTACTGCAATCAGCTAGATAAATTGAATGCAGCTATCAAAGAAAAAAGGCCAACATTAGCGTCCAGAAAAGGAATTGTGTTCCACCACGATAATGCTCGCCCGCATACTGCATGCGTACCGCATACTGCAAAAGCTGAATGCGTTAGGATGGGAAATCCTTAATCACCCACCGTATTCACCTGACATTGCACCATCAGATTGTTGTCTGTTCAGATCTCTGCAAAATTATCCAACCGGTAAAAAATTCAAGTCTTTTGTAAGTGTTTCTAAGGCAGTTGCTGACTATTTCAATTCTATGGACGAGAACTTCCACAAAACAGGAATTCACAGGTTACCTGAAAGATGGCAACAGATTGTAACAAATAACGAAGCATATAAAATTGATTAATATTAAACGCATATTTTTATAAATGAATTCAAATATTTTCTCTAAAATACAACAGAACTTTCCCTCCAACCCAATATTATGTGCTTTTTTCATCCGGTTTTATTGCAATTTCACTCCGTTTCTATCATAAAATATATCTCTCGAAATTAAGAATTCAAATTTACAAAGCCTATCAAGGAAAATTGCAAAAATCTGGAAAAACAACAACATTAATTTCAGTTACTTTTTGAAAAAGAAGTTTTATCCGTATTTCTGAAAAACAAGAGTGCTTAACCCCTTAACGATCGGATAATTTTCAAGAAAACGGTCATAAAAGTGTCTATTTTTTTGACATCTAATTTAAAATAAGTTGATATTTACTTTAAAATAAACTAACTATCTATAATTACCTTAAAAAATATCCTGGTACTGCCATATGGTGTGTAATATGAGAAATAAAAAATTTTTCTGGGCAAAAAAAATGAATTAATTTCATTCTTTTTGCACGTTTTTACTGAACACTCCAGCCCGGAAATTTCATGGGAGCAAGAAATAGAGGGCGAAACCTTACCCCACCATTTTCACGGGAGCGAGAAGGAAGGGGTCAATACGACTTTCAAGCAGACAGCAAGTTTATTATTTCTTAAAAGGTTTTCCCAAAATACAATTAAGGTGTACTGTCTACATATGTTTTTGGGAAAAATGTCTGTAAAAGTACAATTTAATATTACTAAGGAATGTATGCATATTAAGCAAAAGAATATGGTAATACATAATATGGTATAATTTACAGAGTTTCTGACTCCTTGAGAACATTAAAAAGCTCTGTAATTTTATCGAAGTACTTTGATAATGATTTTGGCAAAATTAGCAATAAAATATGGCTTGATAAAGTGTGATAAAATTTAGTAATTTTATCATGATACTTAAGAGCATGGCATACTTTTTCATGGCATTTGCTTTTCAGTTTTGTATTTTTACTTAACGTGTGGTAATAATAACTATAATTTTGAAAACCAGAAATTCTGGAATTCCGTTACCATATAAACGGGAAAATTAACACTAAAATTATGCTTTTTTTTAAATTTTTTAAACTGGAAAAGATGTTTATTACCAGGCAGTGCGGTAATTTTACCAGAATTATTTTCCCCGTGTGAAACGATTACAGCGGAACGCTTCTTTAACAGCTCCAAAATAGCAAATTAATAATTAAATAAAGGTTTAAATTCTGAAATTTTAAACGTTTTGAGTTGTTATATTTTTAGATTATATAGCGAAAGTTTTTTTCAGACTTAACTGTTATATCATTTTGTATGCATTGTATACTTAATAAAATGAATTTAATTAAAAATGATGAATACTTAATACATCAAAATTTAATATATTAAAAATGGAATTCGAGATGAAGCTACAGCGATGTACCTAATGGTGATTAATAATTTTTTAAAAATAATCTTAATATTATTTTTTAAAAATAATTATCTCTTTTCTGAAAACAAGCTATAATTTTTGTAATTATACATGTTTAACGTTGGAATTAAGGTTGAAAAATAAAATTATGAAATTTTAATTTGCATTATTTTTATTTGAGAATAAACGCATGCATGTGAAATGCCACGTAAACTCATAAAATAATTATAAATCCACTTTTCTGTAATTATATCCTTTCTAAAAATAAAAATTAGGTATGGTCTGCAGTTAACAGTAGCAGACAATGAAGCTCAAATAATTGCAAATTGCAAAGTTTAATTTTACAGAACTTTTCTAGATCTTAATTTCTTTTATTTTCATGGAAATAAATAAACATGAAAATAAATAAACATGAAATGACTACAGACATTCACTTTTAATTTTTTTAAATATATTTAATCGATTTATTATAAAAGTTTTTTTTAAAAAATAATTATATTACTACTTCGTAGCAACAATTATTCTAACAATAAAGACTTGCTTAGACCTAGACTATTGCTGTTTTTTGCAACTAACATAAAAAAATAAAGCCTAAATACTTGTAACTATAACTTTTTTTATTTATATGTTTTATTTACAATTAAACATACACAAACATAGGAAATGATTGCATGTCTATTCACGTTTAATGTTTCATATGAAAATTAAATATAACAAATGCAACTGTTATTCAATTTTCAAAGTGCGAAATTATTGAAATGAACATAATAATAGAGATTTCTTGCAAGTGAGAAATAAATAAGAATAGTTTCTGAATGAACAATAACAGTTGTAAACATCAATTTCAATTCAGCAATTAACCTAAAAAAATCAAAATTGCAATAAAAAAAACCGAAAACTCGAAATGGACAACAGGAACAAAAATAGGGTGGTGACTAAGAACTGACTCGTCCTACATTGCCTCCGAGCTACACCTAAAGAAGATGAGACTAATGGCAGGAAAAGAAATCGAACAAAAAAATAAAAATTTTCGCGAGTTAAAAAAGAATCAATTATGAATTCGTTCCGAAAAAAAGTAAACAAACTACCGAAAGAGCGGAACTACGGAAATTCTTGAGATGTGTGATTCGGGTAGAAAAGTGGTGAGACGAGGAGGTCTTCTTTTATTAGGTGATACTGACCCTCGAGTACGTTTCCGATTTGATGAGAACCTCTGTATTTAGTGGTGAGTACTGTTATTCAGTTTTACGCTTGATTTCAACCATCAGCAATCTCATTACTATTATATATTTAATACTAAAATTTCATATAAATTATTAATGACATTTAATTACACTAAATTCTTACATAATATTAGCAAATATTTATATAAATATATATAAAATATTTAAAAATATTTTCGGACATATAGGTACATGGAATTGCAATTCATTGTATTTAAAATATTTAATATTGAAATATAGTATGCATTAATAAATATATACATTTAAAGGGAAATTTTACACCGAATTTAAGAAAAATAAGACCCGAAATATGAACATTATATATTTATAAGTAGACATTTTTAAAAATTTAAGTATATAAGTTCTGCTATTTCTCACTATTAAATACTTGAATAATGAAATATAACATACATTAATAAACATATAGATTCGTAGTGAACGGTTATTAGGAAGTATTATGGAACAAGATTTGTTCATAAAATATTCAAGTATAGTGTTAGAAATTCAACTATATAAATTAACATTTAGTTAGTAATATGCATTTTAAAATAGTAAAGATATTTAATTATAATTCACCGTATTATGATATTTATGAAGATATGTAAAATTCTTATGCGAATACTTTTCAGATAACCCACAGAATTATAATTTCATTATTTTTAAATATTTTATATGCACATCAATGGCGAAATTCAACTATAGCGAGTTTTTTTTAAATTTTTTATGTAAGATAAGGAAGATTTAGGAAGTTTCTAGGAAGTTAGAAGTTTAGGAATTTAAAAGTTCTTATTTTATTAATTGTTTTTAAAAAATGTAATTTCTATTATTGTATTTTAGAGGAAATACATTTTAAAAGTAATTTTCTAGTATTAAGATTAAAAGTACAGCGTGTAAAATAAGTTAAATTATTTGTAAGTATTTAATATAAAATTGCAATACATATTAAAAGAAATATTATAAAAAATATATTATAAAAAAATATATTATAAAAAATTATTTTACAGAATTTTAAAATTACTTAATGTCATTATGATGTCCTAATTTTTTTTAAAATTTATTAAAAAATTGTAATTTGTAAATGCTTTAAGAATGAATATGTTCCCAATTTTTAAATAATTTTTTTACAATGAAGGTATTATTATTTTTTTGGACATTTTTTTAAATTTTTTTATTATTATAGTTGCTGTTAAATTTTTCCTTAAAACTAAACTATTTTAATTGTTGAAAAATTTTTTTTTTTTAAGTCTTCTTTCGATCTGATACCATTGTGCTAAATCTCTAAATTTGCCGCAAAATGACGTAAATGCGAAGTACCTTCGTTTTTCAAGTTGGCTTCTGTGCAAAGTGGTTTTTAAATTTTAACCAATAATTGGATTAAGAAATTCCTACACAGATGATTTTATTTTAAAGAAACCAATCAAATATAACTAAATTTGCAAAATTTGGTTGAGATAAGATCTAGTTTTCTCCATAGCAAGTTTCAAATGAGGCTAATGGAAGTATTTTTCTTTGAAATTTTTTTTTGCATGTTGATAAATGTAAATATAAATAACAAAAATCGTATATCAATTAAAGTACAATCATAAATAATTATAAAAATTATTTTTCTCTTCATCAGATGGTATAACTTTTTATTTTCAGCTCTGAGATATTTTTAAAATTTAGACAGCAGTAATTGTACTTTGGAAGGGGGGGGGGCATTTAATTTTGCATCTATCACAGATATTTTGAGAGAATATAATCCGATAATACATTGTTATGCAACATTGCTCAAATTATTTGATGAATTATTATTATTATTTTAAATTAAAATTTTTCCTTACAGAAATATTGCAAATAATATTGTATTATTTGAAATTAAAACTAGTCTCAAAACTCTCTGTATAGCATCATATCCCTAAAAAAATGAATGCGTAAAATGTTTTAGTAAAATTGGAAAGAGTTTTAGAAAATTTCTGGGGAAAAGCACAAGAATGTTTCGTGAAATCAATTATACATCTTCTTTCGAAATTTCGAAGGAAGTTTGTTTTGGATATTTAAATTTCTTTAGAAATTCAAACAATTCAAGTATTAGGATCCGTTTTATTAATTTATCTCATATTGTTGCTTATTTATTTACTTTTATTTGCTTTTATTATATTTTATTTATTTTTATTTTAGAAAATTATGATTATCAAAGGTGTAAGTGTTGCTCTCTTCCTGGCAACAATATTTTGTACAATCACGTCTATTTCATCTCATGCTCGCCTGATGGAGCCACCATCGCGTCCTAGCATGTGGAGATTCGGATATGATACTCCAAAAAATTACGATGATGATGGATTATATTGTGGAGGAATGAATGTACAGTCCTTTCCTTCCTATTTCTTCGAATTTGAATTAAAATAGTCATATTAATTTTATATTCATTAAGAAATTTCTTATTTCTTTTAAATTAAAATGAACTGTATTAATTAATAAAGTAAAAAAAGAATTGCATTGTTTAATAATGATTTAAAAAGAAATTAATGCATAATAATTAATTTTTAATAAAATCTTAGTATTTTTAAGATTGGGCACTGTAAATTATAAGTTTTTAAAAAAATTTTTTAACGCTATTTCTAAGAAATTCATTAAAAAAAAAAAACAATATTACTGTCAAAACATTCGAAAAGTTTACTTAAATGGCATTTATTTTATCAATGAAGTTATATACTTAGTTTCAAATTATTATATTAACTTAGAAACAACTTTAAACGCAATAATAGAAGACATACAGCAGTATCGGTGCTATAAACAAAACAGTGCAATCATTAATGCCCACACATAGAATGTGTTTCGTTACTAATAATGGTAATTTTTTATAGCCTCTTTAATTTAAATTTTTTTTTAAAGTTTATGCTTAGCTTGTTTTATGCAATTTTAAACTCTAGCATAAAAATAATCCTGTTTTCCGTGGATAAAATTTTTTAATTTTTACTTTTAAAATGTTTTATTTCTCATGTTTTCGTTTCCTGTTTAAAAATGGACATTATATTGTATTAAAAGTAGAATTTATGAAGCTCTCTTATAACAAAGTGCTTGTTTAGATGTAGAGGAATATTTTCTTAAATACTTTTTTTATTGTCAATTTGCATTTATTATAGAAATATATATGCTATAATATAATAAGTGAATCAATATCAAACTATCAGCACCGAGATTAGGATGACAATAGTTTTTTTTTTACAAACAGAAATTTAAAAAAAAAGAACTAGTTGATTAAATGAATTGTTTATAAATTTTTCAGCGAAAAATATCAACAAGTTGAGCATGCGCAATTATAATTTTAATTTTTATTTGTAAAATTGACTTTTTAATCTTAAAATGCATACATATGTTTTTAAGCACGAAGTATAACGCTGATTCCGAAATAGCAATATTTTACTCATATACAATGAAAGTAAAATTCCTCGAATTATTAAAGGAATTAAATCTAAAAAGCAAAAAAGAATTTTTATTTATTTTATTTATTCTGACAGTACAAAAGATGTTCCAAAACGTTATTTATATGGGTTCTGTTGAAATATATGAGAAAGATTAAGTGCGATGTACTATTTTCAATGACACGTTTCGTAGAAGCTAGCATCCCTGCAAGAGTAAAACTGCCGTTTAGATAAAACGCCGTGTTTAGAATAATGACCGAAAATATCACCTGATTTTCATTCTGGCGATTAAAGAATAGGAAATTTTTTTTTATAATTATTAAAATTCGAGATTTTTTTTATAAATAGAGAAACGTAAATTTGAAACAATAAATCGTTATGAAAAGTATTCTGTAAATTTGGTATACATATTTGGAGAGCTGAAAGGTTCTAATTTCAAAATAACATTTTAATAAATGTGGCGGTTTTATCTTACGCATTATTCATTAAATCTATAAATTAAATAAGAAGATTATGTGATAACAATTTAAATTGCATATTACACCTTGCTTTATTTCTTGTTCGTAAGCTTCCAAAAAATAAAACCTATAAATCATTAACACGAATTTAAACAATTCCTTCGCCCTCTGAGCTTTTTAATTTAAAGCTAAAAGAGATGCTTTTTAAGGGGTTAATCAGCAATTGCTTTTTGTTAAATTCATTTCAATCCTAAAATCTGCAAACGATAAAGAATTCTAAACCAGAATTTATGTTGTTTAGATAAGTATGCCCATTTGTTTCCTGAGAAATCTAATTTCTTTCCAAAAATGTCCTATATAAATTTTTTTTCATTACACTCAATAATTATAATTATCGAGTCAAAAGCAGCTGTGCTTCAAGGGATAGAGCAATCGCCTCCAAATGACGTGATCCAGGATCGGGCTGGTTGATATGAATTCTGTTCCCGGCTCGCACCGACCGCAATGCTGACGGTAGCCTCAGTGGTAGACGGATCATGGGTTAGAATCCTCTTGCCGTCGGATTAACTGTGAGAGGTTTTCGTTGTTTTCCTCTCCATTTAACACAAATGCTGATTATTTCCATTAAAGAGCTCCCATAAAAAGTCTTGTAGGTCCCATTTGCTTGATCCGGAAGATACAATGACTTCTGGGTTGGGTTCAAAATTACAAAGGTGAACATTGATCATCTTAAACTCAGTATTGGGTCAGCCGTTCAACACTGGTTATGAAATAAAATAAAATAAAAATTATGGAGTCAAAGGATCTAACAATGATCTCCGATAATTATGCAAAGATATATTTTCTTAATTTTAAATCCAATTCAGAAAAATTATGCAACAAAAATTTTTTTCTAGACCCATTGGAAGCAGAATGGTGGTAAATGTGGAGTATGTGGTGATGCATGGCATGTTCCTCATCCAAGACCTCATGAAGCTGGCGGGAAATACGCAAATGGAATAATTGTCCGAAGATACAAGCCAGGACAAGTAAGGCTATGTATAAAGTTATAGTATTAAATAAATTATTAACTTTAATTAAAGTTAATAACTTGCACATTAATCCTTTGTGCAAATTGGACACCGGTGTCCTTTTCATGGATTTTAATTATAAGCAAAAATATATTTTGGTATTTTTTAATTATAGAAAATAGTCGAATAGTGACTAAAAAATCAGTTAGATTTTAGGAGTTACTAAAATGTAAAATCCAAAAAAAAGTAGTTTGAAATTTTTTGTTCTCATTCCTATTCAAACATTTATTATTTGATAAATGTTTGAATTGTAAATTAACAACAATGTAATCCTGATTTTGTAAATTAACGACATTTCAATGACGGATAACGCTTTCTCTTAGATCGTAGTATCTGCAAATAGCGGAAATTTTTAAACTTTATTGTTTGGAAGTGAGTCATGTTGGGAATTTTTTTACCTCTAATGCAGAAAAAGACACCGGTATCTTATGCTGCATTTCAAAACCCTAAATTATTACAATTCTAAATATAATACTTTTCACTTATATTGATATAAATTAATTCCTAATAATGAAAAAAGTATGAAAGATGTGTTTAATACAAATTTTGCACCAAGAAGTAAACAATTTTCAAATTTTATAAAAGTTAAGAATTTTTTAATTTAATTAAAGTTACGAATTTAGAAATTTAGTTAAAGTTTATTCCTTCCCGATTTTAATAAAGAATCAAAATGAGCGGTGAAAATTTTTTAGATAAAATTAAAGTAATAAAAAAAGTGGCAATATAAAACATGTATATAATATTTTTACTTCTTCAAGTTTCTACGATAAAATAATTTTAATGTAGAATTTTAATTATTGCTGTCAAGATATTGAGCGCTGTTAATTTATAAAATTAAAAACTTAAGCTGAAAAAATGATTGCTAATAGAATTTCATTTATGAATGCAGTCGATTTAATTAAAAAAAAAGTTTTTTTAGTTGGGACGCTACTTTTTTCACATACATTAATCTTAACTTAAAAACATCATAGATTAGACAATTTTTATTTTATAAAAATTAGATGCTTATAAAAATTTATTTCCCAGATGGCTAATATTTTTAAAATTTATTTTCTTTATCTTTCTGGCCAAATAACACAGATGTTATTTTCTAATTTACTAAAGATTTATCAATAGATAGGGTAATCAAAAATAGCGTACATTTTAAACAATCTCGCATAATCATAACCTATTGTAATATTCATTACTATTGTTAAAAGCAAATTTAAAACTAACTTAACTACTTTAAATAAAAAAAATTAACAGATATAAGACAAATATTCTTTATGTTTCTAAAAAAAACTCCCCTTTGTATGCATTTGAAAACGAAAAAGATTCTCACCTTGTGAGCGGTAGAACAAAAACCAAGCACTGAACTAATCAATTGGATACCTGCTAGTGAAGTTGTGTTGTTAACTTGAATAAAATTCCATAAAAGATTAAAAATAATGCAAACGATATAATTATCGACATAGAAATCTTAAATAGTAATTATGCTTAAAGATATGCAAACGATAGTATTCGAAAGCATACTTTATGGTATTTAAATGGTATGGTATTAAATGGTAAAAATAAATCCCTGTTTAGATTTGTTTATTATTAGTTTCGAATCAGTTATTATTACTTTATTTATTTGTTGTCATATAATGAATAGTAACTAATTTTTAAGCAAAACGGAATATTTTTAATCATCCGAATTAAACTTTGAATATCAATCACAAGCGTTTGTTATTAAAATAATTTCTATGTAAGCTCAAACAAAATCACGTAAATAACATTTCTTCAAAGATTGTTAAGATCAAACCTTAATTATCAATATTTTTAATTTAAGTAAGATATATTTTGCTCTCACAAGATAATCAGATTTATATTTCAGCAACAGAAAAAAATTAATTTTTACCCAAACGAAATATAAAAAGCCTAAATTTAATAGTTTTTCATTTTTTAAAAAAACTATTCGATTCCACTCGTGTTTGGACGATATCAACACTACTTATCGTACAAAATCTTAGCAGCCCATTTGTGAACTTTGAGATTTTCAGATCAAGCAATGAACTTGGATATTAATGAGCCTGATGATTATCTCTTTGAAATAGTGTAGAAGATAAAAATGAGCTCACACAATGCAGAGTCACAACTAGATCACCTTAGATAACATTTGAAGATGGATTTGAATACATGGCATTCCTGCTGCGAATACGACGCCGATAAAGAGTTAATTTAACACAACCGCAGGCTCGTGTTCGAATCATTTTGTAAACAATAATGACTTTGAATGATATACTGTATACATTTTGTTGATAAGTTGTATACTTTAATGGATAATTAGATGTCACATCGTTTCTCATACGGCATTTTTCAAACATAATATTGTTAGATAAGAAGGAAGCATTTTTGTTAGATAATACACTTTGCTGAATTACTAATGGCTTGCTCAATGGTTATTAATTGGCTAACAACGACGAAACATTTTTGTTAACTTTTTATGCTTTAATGGGAGTTTTGAGAAACATTAACAAATGGTATTTGTGAATCCTATTAACAAATGTTACAGAGCCGCGGTGGCCCAGGGGGTCATGAGGTAATCAGGTTCAAATAACAGCTTTGGCTCGTCGATACGAATTCAGCTCACGGTTTTCACTGACCACAGTGCTGACTTAAAATATCCTCAGTGGTAGACGGATCATAGGTTAGAATTCCCTTGCTTTCGGCCTAATTGTGGGAGGCTTACGTGCTTTTCTTCTCCATGTAACGTCATCAAAAAGTCCGTCACGAAGGCCAGCTTGTGCCGATGCTTGATCCAGGAGTTCTCTTGTCTTTCGGATTGATTTCAAAATTCCAAGGCTACGGGGTTGAAAATTGTTAGTCGTAAAAGCAGAATTGAATCGGCTGTTCAACGTCAATAACAAAATGATACTTGCGATTTCTATTAACGAAAGCTTTGAATCATTCATTCAAACGTTAAAAAAATTTTAGAATTAAAAAAGAATTGAAATTTTAAAGTAAAAATAAAAATTAAAATAATAATTTTATAAAGCATAATAATTTAATAATTTTTTTTTTTTAATAAGGTAAATGAATTAACACAATTATTTAGTTTCTATTGTTTTAAATAGAAAATAATTAGCTGAATGTTTTTTAAAAATTTATCTCTTAAAATGTTATTTAGGACAATTTAATAATAATTAAAAAAAACACGTATTTGTAACAAAATGTAGCGACAAATTTGTAGCAATTAATGCTTACCCACACATAACTTTAGTTTTAAACAGAGAGCAGAAGGGCAAGGAAACCAAATCGCTCATTTGGTGAAACAATGACGTAACTGATAATTGGAGTAATTATCAGTTACGTCATTGCTTCACCAAATGAGCGAAATGAAGAATTTCAACTAACTAGTCCTTTAAGAATATTTTTAAGCTAGAGTAAACAGTATTTGTGATGCAGAGAAGCGGCGAAAACCTGCATTAGAGTTTTGCTTGAGTTTTTATAATCATATCCCGATTTTGATCTTTCTTTTTTATGCCGTAGATTATTTCTGCAGTAGTTGACGTGACAACCAATCACAGAGGGTTCTTTGAATTCCGAATCTGTCCCAGCAAGAATCCAAAAAAAGAAGTTACGCAAGAATGCCTGGATCAGAATCTATTGACTATCATCAACGAAACGGACACTCGATATAACGTTGAGAGACATGGCAGATCAATGGTTCAATTGGCTTTGCAACTGCCCAAAGGTTTCACTTGCAAACATTGCGTCTTCCAATGGACTTACACTGCAGGTTAGTATTTGAAACCTGATTTATGTGCTATTTCTAAACAAACTGTTTTACGTATATACTAGCTATCTAAAAGGATATAATTTGTTTCTGAAAAAATTATGCACGCAATATTTGGTTTAATTTAACATATTTAAAAGTATAAATTTATAAGGGTATTGATTAAAACAATATATAACTACATAATGAATAGTTTATAGTAATACAATACCCACTGTTGACATGCAAATCTATAATCACAAAGGAATCAAAATATAATTTCTTCGTAATAGATTTAATCTTCGTTGAATGCAAATCTACAATCACAAAGGAATCAAAATGTAATTTCATCGTAATAAATATTTAATCTTCGTTCAATCTACATGCAAATCTACAATCATAAAGGAATCAAAATATAATTTCTTCGTAATAGATTTAATCTTCGTTGAATGCAAATCTACAATCATAAAGGAATCAAAATATAATTTCATCGTAACAGATATTTAATCTTCATTGAATGCAAATCTACAATTATAAAGGAATCAAAATATAATTTCATCGTAATAGATATTTAATCTTCGTTGAATAAATCTGTATAATTTACTGTATAAAATTCAATATCCCCCCCCCTAAAAAATTGAATACCACGTTGGGATTGTTAGATAAATATATTTTCGGAGCCAACGGGAACACTTGTGAATATACATAGTAAAAAAAATCCAGGTAAAAAATCAGATCAAAAATAAAAAATTCCAGTTCGCAAATGGCATTTAGTACTTTTTACAGTAATATTCAATTTTTCCAGAGCATGTTCAGCAACAAAAAATTCTCATGTACCCTAATTTTCACAATAATAATTACTCTAAAATAAATGAATCACTCTAATTAAATAAATATTATTGTAATAATTATGGTATAGTATTTTACGGTATAAAGTACCGGCACTTAATGTCCCGGTGCTTTATATCGTAAACTGATCGTAAATTGACCGTAATTATACCGTATTATACCGTATTTTGATCCAGAAATTTTCACTGAGTCTCAATACTCACGATGATCCTTGAGGCTATTTGGTGTATTTACTGATATTATAAACAGTTTATTTTTCCACGTTTACCAGCTGCAGTAAGGTATTAATTTCCAATTAAATGCAGACTTTTTTTTTATTTCTGAGAATTAAATTAAATATTTAGAGTTATATTTTATGTCATATATGTGACATGTGTAAGGTAAGAATTATGTAAGCTAACCGAACAAAAAATTAGTATTCTTAAAGAAATTAGAGAAAATATAATTATACAATTCATAATTATTGTTTAATTTGGTGATTATTAATAACATAATATAATTAATAATAATATAACTATTATTTAATTTATTATGTAATTCCGGCTCTGAACTATACAGCCACTTAGATTCGGTTACGAAGTGAAAAGACAAGGTTTTTTGCGAGGACCGCAACCAATTTCTGACACCCAGTGAAGATGGTGAAAATTTACTCGAGAATGTTTTTATCAATTTTTATCCGATTTTTACATAAATGCCCCCAAGTGCCAGTCAGGTGATTGTACAGTTCAATCGATATGTACGAGGATGTGTGAGTGTTCATAAAACCAGTCACACATTCTTTTTTAACCAGGTGTGCGATTTTCCAATCCAATGAAATATAGCGACAGGTCTTCTGTAAGGCATTTTCTTAAATAAAATAAAAATGATTCTAGTCTCTTTTTTTAGTTTAGTTAACACATATTAAAAGAAATAAAAGCTTGTATTATAATTGCAACCAACTGCAGAAAAGAGAAAGATCTTCTAAAAAGAGAGAGTCGTTAAAGGCCACTGGATTGTAAAATAGAGCCCAGTGTACTTTCCTGCTCTTACCTTAAACAATAAAAGTGTGTCAAAAGCTTACTGAAAATAATAAAAATGATAATTTCTAACTGAAATGCTAACCAGAGCATTTAGAGTGTTAAAATAAACATGCTGCTTTAAGTTAGTAGACATCGGAAAACCTGTCTAATTCATAATAAGAAAAAAACATTCCCAAAATATTACAGATATATCTCCGACTTAGGCCTGAATGATGTTTTTCATGTCTTCTTGAGGGAAATTTTTTTTTTTGTGTCCTGAAAAAATAACTACAGTTATTATATTCTCAATTAAAACATGTTTAGAAGCATATAATTACTTGAGCAATTTTTTTAGTGAAGGTAAAATGCTATAGGAAAATAAAAAATAAGTGTGAAAACAAAGAATATAATAAAAAATCTTTTAAAACCCATTTTTTTCCTTATGAGTCATTTATGCAATTGTTCACCTTATTCAAGTACTCAATATAATGAAATTCTTCATTATTTAGGTTTAGGTTTAAATTGCCACGAAGGCTAAACGAACGGAGAATAAATAAAACAAAATAAATTCTTATCAACATAGGATTACAATGAATACAACTACCATCGAACAATTTATTAATAAGATTTATTTCTCTTAGGAAACAACTGGGGTAGATGCAAGGATGGAACCTATGGATTAGGTTGTGGCAATCAAGAAACTTTCAAATCATGTGCTGATGTAGCAATAACAGACCAAACCGTAATTGATGAAAGACCAGTTACTCAGAAGCCAAGCTTTACGACGTCAGTTACGTATAAGCCGTCAAAACCAATGACCGCTAAGCCTATCACAGTCAAGCCATCTCGACAGAAACCCACAAAAAACATCTTTCCCCAAGACAATAAGAAAAGAAAAAAGTATCCTTCTATCAGGCCGACCTATTCTCCTGTAAAAACGTTCCAAGAAGCTATGGAACGTATAAAGAAGGATCCGAAACTTCGATGGATGCTGGAGGCTAAAAAGCCCAATTCCTAATGCAACTTTTACTTTTTCTTTATATTCTAAAAAGAAAAACATGTTTTTATAAAGAAAAGTTTTCAGCTGTTTTTGTTACGTTGAAAGTCAAAGTCAAGTTGAATTCAATAGTTTGTTCTATTTTACTGCATAGAATCATTTGAGATGCGTATTTTCAAAGAATATTTTCAATTTGTTTCGTATAATACCAAATGCAAACGATTTTTTTTTTTCAGTTCAAAATTGCTAGTAAACCTGTAAAACATTAATTATAGAACATATGCTCACATTAAATTATTCAATTATTACCAAATTGCTGCGCATTAAATATATTTTTATTATAGCTGGCTATCAAAACAAATTCTTCTTTTTAGTTTGTATTAATTTTTCTATATAAAGCTGATTTACTGTTTCTTTAGAAGTTCTCAATGATGCATTAGTTGCGGCCAAGTATTTTTTATTTATAATTGATCATCACTTTTAATCATTTTATATTTTTATTATTTCTGATTTTTTTGTTGTGATTATTCACAAACATTTTTAAAATTTCTTTTATCATTACTTATTATCATTATTATTGTTATTATTTTTATAAAAAGCTGATTTACATTGTCTTTTTAAAACATTAAGTCTTTGTCTTTATAATTCATCTTAACTTTTTGACATGTTTTTATATTAACAATCAGTGACAAAAATATCGTGCACGGAGGAAAAATTACTGTAAAATACCCTTTTCTGATAAAAAAAAACAACAACCATAGTCGTGGTATTAAAAACCAAAACATACGGTATTGAAAATATGCATTTGGTAATTTTACCATTTTATGGTAACGGTTTATGGTAAATTCCCGTTTTCAAAATTATAATTTTTATCACCACGCATTTAGTTAAAAGTGCGAAACTGGAAAATAAATTTAACCAATTTTTTTTTGCCATGCTCTAAGGTATCATGATAAAATTATCAAACTTTTTCAAATTAACCGAATTTTATGACATATTATACAACTACATTTTACTGTTAATTATACCAAAATCATCACCAAAGCAATTCGATAAAAATTACCGAGATTTTTGGTTGTTCCCATAGAGCAAAATACACGGTAAATTTTACCATAATCTGGTAGTTTTGACCATACTCTTTTCAAAGTGTGTTTCAATCCTTTAAATGAGTTTAAATCCTTATCAGAAACAACGATCAGAAACCTTTAAAAACGCATAAAAAATAATTCCCCTCCCCCCAAAAAAATCATTTTTTCTATTTTCTTTTCATTTTTAACAATGATGTTATGATGATGTCATTGACACGATGTTATTTTTCAAAGATCGTAAATCTCTTTTTCTTTGATTTTTTAAAATATTATGCATATATTCATTTAGGAAAAGATGTGATATCTGTTTTCTGATCATATCACAAGATTTTAGATGAATTTATGTTGAAATGGAATTGCATAAGAATATTCTGTTATGCTAATAACTATGATAAGCTGTTTCGAACTCCATTAGCTTATTTATTTGTTTCGTTGCTAAATCTTTTAATTTTATTATAATAATTTGAATCATTTAGTTCGTCAAGAAATACTTACTCTAACCATTCATTAAATAATTTCCTATGTGCATAATTTATGTTTTGGAAATTTTTTAAACTTTTTTTTGGACGATTTTTGACATAATGTTAATGAAAGATATTGAAAATCATTTATTTGGTACTTTAAGAAGCTAAAAAAATATTCCAGATACTTCTGGAATTTTTAAAAAAATCTTTTTGAACGAAGTAAAATTATGTACTTTGCATGGATTTATGGAGTATAGGTATTAGTTAAAAATAATATTTTTTAAATGATTTAATAAAATACCAGAAAATGCTGATGTGTTTGACAATAAATATGTACTTCTTAAAGTCTTTAATGACTTTTTGTAAAATTACCATTGCAATATGATTTTTAAATATATTTGATTTTTTTTCAGCTTTGAGCCAAATTTTATGTAGTTTTGAAACATGAGAATTGAATTAGTATTACATTTTAATCAGTTTTTTCTCCAATTGGCATACGAAAAATTAATAAATAAAAACTGTTAAAAGTACGAATATCAAGATCTCTATTACAAGTGTTAAAAACAGTTCTGTTTATCAATTTTACTGTTACAGCTGGTCTGTACCGATGCTAACCTGATTTGTGATAATTTTTTTATCATTACTTCAAAAGAATTGTTTCGATTCATTTTTGTTTACCCCATTTTGTATGAATGATTTGTATTTTTTTAAATAAAAAATATTTTTTTCCATATTACTCCTTTTTGTTGAAAAATAATTTACTCACTTTGGTAGTATAGTAATTTAAAGCACATTGAATATTAAAAAACATTTAATTTATTAGCAACAAATAACAGCTTAATAGTTGAATTTGAATTCTAATTTTGCATCAGAATCTTTTTGATAAATTAACAATTTCATTAACTTTATTTTCTCACGCAGACAATCCATTATCACTTATGCCATACTTATCAAAGTCTGTCTTTTTTCTTATGGGCAATCAGCTCTGCACAATGGATACGGTAGTAATTTGGAATACTGTAGTCTTTTGGTGATTTGGAAATACACCAATAATGAACTACGCAAAATTACGGATTACTTTTTTTAAATGGTGGTATGGCTATTTTGAGTCCAAACAATGGAAAATATTTTTAAAAAAGTAACAGCTTAATAGGAGAATTTGAATTCTAATTTTGCATCAGAATCCTTTAGATAAATTAGCAATTTCATTAACTTCATTTTCTCAGGCAGACAGTTCATCATCGCATATGCCATACTTATCTAAGTCTGTCTTTTTTTCTTATGGGCTAGTAGTTCTGCACAATAGATACACAATTTGGGAAGTCATTTGGAATACTGTAGTCCTTTGGTCATTTGGATTGCAAAATTTCGGATTACTTTTTTCAATGGTGGTATGGCTATTTTGAGTCCAGACAATGGAAAATGTTAGAAAAATGTAATAGTTTTCTTAGGAGAATTCGAATTCTAATTTTGCATCTGAATCTTTTGGTTAAGTTAACAATTTTATTAACTTCATTTTCTAAGGCAGACAGTCCATCCATCACGTATGCCATACTTATCCAAGTCTGTATTTTTTTCTTATGGACAACTAGCTCTGCACAATGGATATAGTAGAATACTGTAGAACGCGTATTTGGAAAGCAATCTAATATTTTTCAAACCAAAACTATGAGAATTTTTAATTTTTTAAATTTTTTCAACAGTTTGTCAAATAAGGTGTTTGCTTTCATTTTTATCGGAGAAAAAAAAATCGTTAAGTCGCGAAATTTAGTGAAAAGAGGTTCGTCAAATCGAGTACCGTCTTTCTATTGTACTCTTAGAAGGGTTGTCTTTTTCGTAGTTATTTCATGAATATTTTTACAAAGATCTTTTCCATTTATAATTTTTTAAAAACTAAATTTTTTATTCGTATTATCCAAAATTTTTTTTTACCAAGGTTCAGATATGTGGGGCTCTACTGTATATGCGACTTTAAAATCTATGCAAACTTTGAAGCTAATTTCAACCTAAATTTCATAAATTGCAACTGAAAGAAAATATTAAATACTTAAATTGAAGCCAATTTTCGTAGCCAACAATGCTCATCACTAGTTGAGGTGTAGGACTAGACTCGATGTTTGGAGAGCTTTTTAACTACTCTTATAAAATCATTCTGAAGTTTCAAAACTGTTACAAAATGCCATTTCTTAGTTTTAAAGTCGATCTGTATCAGCCAGAATACTAAATGTCACTCTTAGGAAAATTGGTTCAACTTTGAACCCAAAAATAGATATTTTGGACTATACCTAAAAATGTCAATAGTACCGTGTTAAATAGTGTAAGATACATGGTACAACTTAGATAACGTGATTAAGATAACATAGATAATATGGTTAGGATAATATGGTACAAGTTAGATAATATGGTTCAGATGATATGATACAACTTCGATAATATGGTTAGGATAATATGGTGAAACTTAGATAATAGTGTTTGGATAATATGGTGCAATTGATATGGATAGGATAATATGGTACAACTTAGATAATATGGTACAACTTAGATAATTTGGTGAAACTTAGATGATATGGATATAATAATATAGTAGATAATATGGTACAACTTAGGTAATATGGTTAGGATAATATGGTGCAACTTAGATAATGTAATTTGGATAATATGGTACAACTTAGATAATAAGGTACAACATACATAATAAGGTACAACTTACATAATATGATAAGAATAATATGACACAAGTTAAATGATACGGCTAGGATAATAAGGTACAACTTAGCACTATACAAATTTGCAGCAAATTTGAACAATATTATTACTCTCTCGCCAAAATTTCTAACTGTGTACTTACCTTGTTTATTAAAATTAGAAGCAAAACAAATACTTTTCCCTGAAAATTATAAATATAAACTGTTGAACCTCTGTCATTCCTGATTTAAGTTCCTAAAGAAGATTTCTGTAGAAAAGTTTTAAAAAAATATAATCTACTATGCAAAAGCACGAAATTCAAATAATCTGCGTTCATTTAAGAGCATCATATAAAATTAATTATAATAATAACATTTCTTACAGGCAGAAACTAGCAAATAGCAATAAGAGGTTTCCAGAAAAAGTATCTTTCTTCGTAATATTTTAATTAACTATTTTAAATTTAAATTTAATCAAATGCCTTTCGATCGAAAAGTTAACCATACTTTTTTTTCTTTCTTTACTTTTCTTTCTTTCTTCTTTCTTTTCGAAATATCGAATAATTTGGGGAATTAGAGAATATTAAGGGATTACTCTTCGTTCTAAAATAATTAACATTCTAATTCAAAAGCAAACGTCAGCCACTATTGCAGGTTTTTATCTTATTAAATTATTTCCTCCTAAATTGTGTAATACAATCGCTTAATCGTTTTCAAATATGACTCACATTTAGAAAACAATTTTAATTCGGTGATAGGTTTTAGTAAAAATATATTGGAACTAAATACTATAAAGCGAAATAAATTAGAATCATTCAATACTTCATAAAATAGTAGCACTAATACTAAAATTTGGAATAGTTTTAAAATTATACTTTTTTTAATCACCTATGGTTAACATAATTGACTTACTTACACTCATTTTTAAATACAGATTTTAAAAGGCATTCAAGGAGTAAATATGATATAAAAACTTTGGTGCTTTTCTTTTGTTGAAAAATGTAACGGAAAAG